GAATTCTATATTTGAATTCTTCCCCCCGCCACTTCCTAGCACTGGCTCTTTGGGCAAGTTACTTAATCTCTCCGAGTATGCATTTCCTCATCTGGAAAAAGAAATGAGCGTATCCATCTACCTCACTGGGTTACTGCAAACATAAAATGACAGAAGAAGCCACACAAAGAGGAATATTCACAGCGACTTAACCTGTGACAACCAAAACCTGGAAACAACCCAAATGTTTATCAACAGGTGAATGGAAAAACAAACTGTGCTACAACCAAACAGTAGGATGCTACGCAGCAGTAAAACGGAAAAGACACCAAGCAACGCAAATGAATCTTTAATGAGTAGGCTGAGTGAGTGAAAAGAGCCAGGTTTTGAAAAAGAGTGCATACTATTTGATTTCATTTATGTAACATTCTGGGAAATAAAATCAGTGATGGAGTCCGGGTGGGGCGGCTCACACCTGTAATCCCAGCATTTTCGGAAGCTGAGGCAGGCAGATCACCTGAGGTCAGGATTTCGAGGCCAGCCTGGCCAACATGTGAAACCCCGTCTCTACTAAAACCACAAAAATTAGCTGGGTGTGGTGGCAGGCACATGGAATCTCACCTACACTGGAGGCTGAGGCACAAGAATCGCTTGAACCCAGGAGGTGAAGATTGCAGTGAGCCGAGATTGCGCCACTGTACTCCAGCCTGGCCAACAGAGCGAGAATTTGTCTCAAAAAAAAAAAAAAAAAAAAATCAGTGATGGAGAGCGTATCAGTGATTGTCTGGGGTTGGAGGGATAACAGAGGGTCGTGAGGAAACTTCTGGGGCAATGGAAATGTTCTGCATCTTGATGTGGTGAGGGTGTTGTGGGTTTGAACACTTTAAATATGTGCAATATAGTGTACTTCATTTATACTTTGATAAATCTGGAAAATTTCAGAAACATGAGATCAGGCCGGCCCAGCGACTCATGCCTTTAATCCCAGTACTTTGGGAGGCCATGGTGGGTGGATCACTTGAGGTCAGGAGTTTGAGACTGGCCTGGCCAACACGGTGAAAACCTGTCTCTACTAAAAATACCAAAATTAGCCATGTGTAGTGGAACACGCTTGGAACCCTAGATACTGAAGAGGCTGAGGTATGCGAATGGCCTGAACCTGGGAGGCAGAGATTGCAGTGAGCTGAGATTGCACCATTGCACTCCAGAGCAAGACGGAGCAAGACTCTGTCAAAAAAAAAAAAAAAAAAAAAAAACAAAGAAAGAAAGGACAACGAGGTAAGGATGTAATGTCCTATCACAGGACTGGACACATAGTAGGCACTCAACAAATGTCAGCTCCATTCTGGAGAATAAAGAATAATCTCATTAGAACTCCTGGGAGAAAAACATGAGAGACCACCAGGGAAAGGAGTCAGCATTTACTTCCAGGTTTACCAGGACCCAACTATGCAGGATAGGCTCATCTCAGCTAAAAAGCTGAACAAGGAAGGAAAACAGAAAGATAAACAAGGCTTGGTCCTTGCCCTAAGGGAAACACAAATAGGTTTAATATATGATGTAATCAAAGTGTCAAAAGGACGGTATTGACAAACTACAGGCGTGCACAAGAGAGTAATTCTAATAGAATGGTTGTCAAGAAGGAGCAATTCCAGGTGGGTGGGGTTCTGGCAAGCAGTAAGAGGTGGGGGCCTGTGCAGAAAGAGCTGCCTGCACTGAATGGGGAAGCAGAGAAAGGACGGTGCTGGGCGGCGGCAGCGGGCAATGCCATAGCACACTGCTCTGGGGAGCAATAGGGAGAGGATCTGCGAAGGGCAAAACCAAGCTACGGAAAGCCCTGAGCTCTGGCTTGAACCTCAACTTTATCCATCTGGGGGAACCCCCTAAAGAGTTGTATAGAATCAGATGTGGTTTATACAAGCAGGTCCTCTCTACAGGGCAACTTGGCCATTTATCAAGAGTGCCGACATTCGCATCCCTCAATTCAGTAATTCCTGAGGAAATAGTCAGAAATGTGTACAAAGATTTATGGACAACATTGCTTATCACAACATTATTTGTAATAGCCCAAAGCCCAAAATAACTTAAATGTCTAATAAAAGGGGACTGCTAAATAAATTATGGTATACCGAGTGATTAAATCATATATGGCCATTAAATCATACTTTCCGAGCACAGGGATGACAGGGTGCACACCTCAGTGTACAACGCTAAGTTGCAAAAAAGCAGGGTACAAAAATATCTGGTGAGAATTCATTCAGCAAATATTTACTGATTATCTATTAAGTGTCAGGCACTGTCCGAAGCACTGAGGAAACAGGAGAGAATAAAAGAGAGAAAATCCCTGCAGAAGGGATTCTACCTTCCAATGAAGGAAGGCAGACAACAAAGAGGAAAGAAATAGCAATCAGCAAGATATACAGCAGGTGATATGCAAAGAAGTGCGATGGAGAAAATCAAGAGGGGAGAGACATGGGGAATTGGGGAGAAGGTAGAAATTTTAAGGAGATGGTCAAGGAAACTTTCAGAGAGAAGGGAGTCAAGAAGATGAGCAAGGGCATCCTTGGGGAGGGCCTCCAGGCGGAAGAACAGGCAGTGCAAAAGCCCGGGGGAGGCCTGGTAGTTCACGAAAGAACAAGGCCAAAGCAGCAGAACACCAAAGACAATGAGAGAATGCGGTCAAGGGGAGCTGTGCGGCTCCCAGTGTGGTGGGAGCCACGGCAGAGCTCTGGGCAGAGGACTGGCAGGGTCAGTAGGAGAGGAGGGCAGGAGCCGGGAGGCCACATGGGATGTCCCCTAAGTGCTGTCCTAGCTCATTATAATGGGTACATGTTTATTTCATAATCAGAAAGCAAAAGATAATTCCATCAAGGACAGCACAATGCACAAAAGCAGTTCGGATGCTGCGGCTGAAGCTCAGGGAAACAAACAAATAAGGAGGTCAGGGAAATCATTCAGAGATCAGCTACGAAGCGGCAGGCAGGCAAAGCACCACATGGAATCCTCACGTGTCTTCATGTGTTCATGAAGGTTCTTGGGAGCAAACTTACTCTTCCTAATAATGAAAGACACATAACCACGATGCAAAAAAAAAAAAAAAAAAAAAAAAACTGCAAAAGGGAGAAAGAGAATCCCCCATCATCTCAGCATCCTAACAATACTTCACATCTTGGTATACTTCCTTCCAATCCTTTCTCCTAGAGAGGATTATTTTTTTTCCCTAATCCTCCCACAATGCCCAGCACGCTGTATGCACTCAAATATTCACTGAACAAATACATGGAGGACCAAATGCATAACCAACTTCTCTACATAACTGTGTGTTATGTTAGCTATAGTAGAGGCATTTACAGACGTGGTTTTCATAGGCTTGGGTGAAGGAACGGCAGCTGCACTCAGAGAGAAGGCATGGTCATAGGTATCCACACATTTAAGAGGGTGGTGGTGGCATGACTGACTCATCAAGGGCACTGGAAGGAAGCAACCTGAAAAGGAAGATCCTGGGTTCAGTTTTGGTGACTTCTTGGGGGGAATGCATAGAATACCCCTGAAGAGACTCTCAGTGGTCCTCTCTCAGGGCTCAAGAAGCAGTTGAAGCCTCAGCACAGAGACAGTCACAGCAGAAAGAGTAGCCGAGGAGGAATGGAGGAAGAAAAACACTTGCAGACATGCCAGACACCGTGCTAGAGCTTCACACAACTCCACGCCTTCTCATCTTCACAACGGCCCCACGAAGTGGACACCCGTGTTCCTCTCATACATGAGGACATACAGGCCTGCAAGGCTCAGTGATTTACCCAGTTCCTCTGAAGCAGAACCAGGACTCAAATCCATGAACATGAAGGCTTTTCCCACTCATTCTCCTTCCTGATCATAGAAGCTTAAAGAATACTCAGAATCCTAGGGAGAAAATGTGTTCAGATGAATTTATTACATAGTATCCAGTTTTTGCTCTCAAACTCCTGGGACCCAAAAAGAAGAGCGTGTTCTTCCTCTTCCAAAAACATGTCTTAAGTGTTTTCTAACTTATGATTAAAACCTGTTGTGTTCTTCTTTTTTTTTCATACGTATGAGTCTTCTGTCTCCCACCAAATAGAACACTCCAAGATGCCAGGACACAAGCCTCACGACCTCCCCCCACACTGGCCCAGCACTCTGCACACAGCAGGTGCTCAGCAAATGCTCTGATGCTTATGCTGTCCATCCCTTGACAGTCTTCCTGGGCCATTCCCTGTTTCCTTAGTCCTTGGACACTCGTATGGTAGGTGACCCGACTCCCTCTGGCTTAGCTGAGGCAAGGCCAAGCCCAGATGAATGAGTCCACTTGCAAGAGAGCAGACAACAGGCAGGTAAGTTTGGGTGGAAAGGCAGATGGGCAGACTCATATGAGGAGGGGAGGCAAACCTTCCCTCTCCACGGGGCTTGCTATAGAATAGTCTGCAAACTGGTTGGCTCATGGACCAAATTTAGCTTATCCATGTATATTGCTTGGCTCACACATGATTTTCATTTGTCAAAACTGTAATTAGTTGCTTTTTTTTTTTTTTTGAGACAGTCTTGCTCTGTTGCATCCAGGCTGGAGTGCAGTGGTGCCATCTCGGCTCATTGCAACCTCTGCCTACTGGGTTCAAGTGATTCTCCTGCCTGAGCCTCTTGAGTAGCTGTGATTACAGATGCCCACCACCATGCCCAGCTAATTTCTTATATTTTTAGTAGAGACAGAGTTTCACCATGTTGGTCAGGCTGGTCTTGAACTCCTGACCTCAGGTGATCCACCTCCCTTGGCCTCCCAAAGTGCTGGAATTACAGGTGTGAGCCTCCACACCTGGCCATTATTTTTCAAAAAGTGAGAGATTTCACACAAAAATCTGGATCTCTGTAAGCTGCCCCGTTGAGACAGGCCTGCCCTTTTCACTTCCTCACAGCCCCACCCATTCCAGCTCTCCAACTGCACCTCATCCCCTGCAGGCCTCTGCTGGAGACCCTGCCTGCCCCTGTCCACACGCACCCCGTGTACTCACCGGCACTCAGAGTCGTGAACTCCAGGAAACAGTATTCATAGGACACATCTATCTTGGTTTCCACCTGAGGCCTCTTCAAAGTTGAATAAATATTCCCAGGCCGTTTTTCATCACGTTTCTCTAACTTGTTCAATCCGCAACCCATTTCAGCAGCTGCTGGCCAAAGAAAAAGGTGGGGAGGTGATTTTTTTTCTGAGATTTTGTCTTTAAATACCCTGGTATAAAAGAAGCTGTAATTCTCCTGAAGAATACATGACAGACCTCAGCCTTTATGAAACTCACAGTATAATTTAATATATGACCTGAACACAGAGGGCTGTGCTCCGTACCCAGGCTGACTTCTGCTAAGATACTATTACCAGCCATCCTGAGATTTTTTTTTTTAATATGACATCAAAAGCATAGCTGTTTATATCTCTTTTTCCCCATCTGAGGAAAATAATACCCCCCACTGCCTCAGTTCCACTATGATCTGTATCCATGAATAAAAAATGGGATCTAAAAAGCAATATGGTGCATTATAGTGTCAGCCCATCTATAAAAAAACAAGAGTTATGTCACCTTCACTGTGGTCGCTAAGACAGAATAAGTTGTTGTTACAATTTCCAAACTCCAAGTCCTTTCTACCCTCAACAGTAATTATTTAGACAGGAATTATATTCATAAAACATCTCTAAAAGTAGATGGTAGTGTTTTTATGGGCCTTGTCTAAAAGTCCCCCTTTTTCTTCTTTTTTAGACCAAACTGCAGGAAATAATAGTGTGCGCCCATGCTCTTAGAGAGTCATTTTAGACCAAAATGAAAACTGACTGAACACTAATAGCAGGGATAGAGCAATTGGAAGCAGAAATCCACGTGTATTAGAGCAAAGATCTGTAGTTACAGTTTGAAAAGAAAATAAAGAATGCTAAAGTGATGTGCACATTAAAGTGAGCCCAGCTTCCAATCGTTCATGGGATTAAAAACAATGAAGGCTCTCTGTTTATTGGGGCAGAATGGCTTTCATTAAATAGCTTTTGATCCACTCCCCCAACTCCTGCAGAAGATATTTCCCTCTGTATACTAAGCATAAGTGATGTTTCCCTCCTCTCTGGGGTACCACTGCTGCCATCAGAATATATTTCACAAAAATATTAACCAGCCAAGAATATCACACACAGAAACACAGTGACCACTTCCTTTTAGAGATAAGAGTTTCCTTTTGCTTAATTCACTTACAAGGTACTCAGCTTCCTAAGGCAATTTGGCAAGCTCCAGAAAAATAAACTGAACCTCAAAAAAGCAACGAGGGCATGGGGCGGGCGGGGTGGAAGGAGGCAGTGTTACAACAGCCAGACTCTGCTTTTCAGTCATTAAAAAAAGTCTGAAAGAATGGATGAGAACAGGAAGGCTTACTTATGCCTTAATAAGGGAACATTAGTATCCAAAGGGCCAGAGCAGACATGATTTATGTGCAATCTGCATGAACTGATCACTTGTAAAATACTCTGTAGTTCTGCAGATAAAACAGCTGATACATAAAGGGCTGCATATTGAACTGCTGAAAAGCAAACCGGCTGGCATCCACTGGGGCAAAGCAGAAGAGAAATGAACAAGGAAGCTTCGAAGTGCTGGGGACAGGTAACCTGGCGAGATGGGCACTATTACCACTAGAACGGAACTGCAAAGAGCCCAAAGGCTCGCCAAATCACTCATTCATGCAGATTTACTCATGCCTACGATGGGCAAAGCATTATCAGCGATTCAGACCGTGTGGTTTTTGCCCTCAAGGAGGTTAGCCTAGTACAAGATGGGAAAATGGCAGGGGCCTAGAGAGGGTATTTGGGATGGGCTTTGCTGGACAGACTCCAAATGTGAGGATGCAGAGATGGAGGAACAGCAAGAGCAAAGGCACGAAGCTGCCCCATTTGAAGGGAAAGGGCAGGCAGCGCAGTTTGGAGAGGCAGCGTGGGGTTTCGGGTGTCAGAGACCTGGGCCCACCACTAGCCCATATGCCTTTGTGAGAATTAGAAAGAGGCGTCCCCTCCTCTGAGGAATGCAGCCCTGTCCCAGCCATGCCTTACTGAGCACAGCAAGGTCTAGATCTAAGTCCCTGTCTACCCACTGGGGACAATCTTTATAACTGTCTGTGGCAGTGCTGCTTCCATAGGGGGGAAGTTAAGCAAAATTGATTATGATTAGCTAGCCATATAAATAATTATGGAAATGGAGGCAAAGATTTCTTAAAGAGGACCCCTAACTACAAAAGAAAATTTTGATAAAGTGGGCTATATTAAGATTTAAAACTTCTGTTCCTCAAAACGTACATTAAAGAGTGAAAAGGCAATCCAGACACTGAAATAAGCATTTGTCAAGTGGTGCACTGGTAAACCAGCTCTCCAAAAAAGAGAGGAAGCCCCAGTTTGTAGTTTGCCTATTTCTGTGGTGTAAACACACCCACCATGGCAGATTTCAAGCTGCCAAGCATGATGCTACCAAAGGCAGAGTCAGGAAGAGATGCTAAAATCAGCTCTCAAAGGCCAGCGTGTGTTGGCTCCTGCACACTAAGGCATTCATACAACGAAGGACTCACATCCACCATAACCAGAGAACGCCTAACAAATTGATAAGGAAAAGATACACTACCCAACAGGTGAAATGCAGACAGGTGAAATGCCTCAACAAATACCCATGAGGATGTGCAAATGGCTAAGGAACATATGAGAAGCTCAGCTTCATGACTCATCAGGGAAGCGAAGGGAAGACCACAGTGAGATTTAAGGCATCTACCAGAATAGCTCAACATTTTAAAAACTGATAATACCAAGTGTTGACAAGTATAAGAAGTAAATGAAATTCCCCTACACTGATGATGAAATTGTGAATTGGTACAAACCACGTTGGAAAACTGACAATATGTTGGAAAGCTGAATGCACACCTATCCTGTGACCCAGAAATTCCCATCCTGGGTATATACTAACAGAAATGTATAGACATGGGCATCAAAAAATATGTACCAGAATGCTGACAGTAGTCATCCTGGAAACTGCCCAAACACCTTCCAGGAAAATAGATAAATACATGTGGGACATTCACACAATGAAATATTATAAAGCAACGAAAACATGGAAACTAAGATTACACGCTACATTAATGAAGCTCAAAAATAAAAAAGGAATGGGAGTGGGGGCAGCCAGACACAAAGGGTTACATTCTTTCTTACTCCCTTTATACAGAGTTCCAAAACAGGCCTCACTCATCTCCAGTGTTAGAAGCTGGGGTGCCGGTTACCCTTGGGAGAACAGTAACTGCAGAGGAGGATGAGGGGGCTTCAGGGTGCCAGCTTTGCTATTTCTTGATCTGGTGCCAGTTACACTGGTGTGTTCAGTTTGTGGTGATTCGCTGGGCCACTGAGCAGTCTCCATACTGATCTGTGTGATACTAAAATGTTCAAAAATAAAAAACAAATCTGTGACCTTACAAATGCACAGATACATCTCCAACAATAACGTTAGGATGGAATAAAGGCAAAACACAAAATCATCTATGTACTGGGTGTCAACTCTTCAGAATAAAATCTGAAGCAACATTACAGCAGGCATGTTCATCTGATGCTGGCTTATCCAATAAAGCCACTTGTGTATACACTACAGAGTTCTGAAAAGGAGAAAGGACTCTTCTCTCTATCAGGCTGGTGGCAGGTTCTAAAGGGTGGCGGTAGGGCCCTGCTGGAGACTGACAGGAGCAAGGCTGAGTAAGGCATGGGTGGCTGGCAAGCAAGGAAAGGCACTCACACCCACCCGGCTGCATTACTCAGGTAGACCTGCCTCACTCTGGAAGGCAGGGTGTTTGAAGACCTCCAAGAAGGAACCTCTTCCTGAAAATCCTCCCACTTTTGCTACCTTATTATGTAAATTCTAGTATTAGAGGTTCATTCCTTTGAAATCAGAATGACCTTTCCTAAGTATCTCCTTTGAAATGGCAAATACCTCCATGGGAAGGACAACAAACAAAGCTCATGGTAGCCACTATCACTTTAGTATGATTTTATTTTGTCTATCATTTTTAATTTAAATTTAATTTCTTTGATAAAGGACAGCTTCCCTGATAGCAGAAAGAAGAGGGTTACCAGGAAGAGAAGAAAGACATGGAAAGGGTTGGGGTGGGGATCAGGAGAGCACCAAGAAGCATTAGAAAACTCTTGTGATTCATAACTTTGAGTTTCAAGTTTCAATCAGACTGTCCCAATCTTGAGGCTTCCGCCCCAGCTCATCCCAAAGGGCACTGTGCTTGATATCACAGGACATAAAGGGGCTCTGAGAAAATCATCCGTATGATCAGGCACAGAAAAGATAAACAGTATGTTAAACCAAATTTGGCTTGAGGATGCCTCCATACTTGAGTTATTACATAAGGCATTGCAACTTGGCTTAGTAGGTGAACTAAGTGAAAGCCTAACTTAGGATGTAGACTATGTAACAAATAGCTGAGTCTTAGCCAATCACAGCAGCAGAGATGCAGTCAATCACAGGCAGCGAAGGAACGAATGCAACCAAGCCAGCTGTCTCTGTACCTCACTTCTCTTTTCTGTACAGAAAACACTGCCAGGATGTATTTCAGGCGGGTCACTGAATGTGTCCTGGTTTTGAGGCTGCCCAATTTACGAATTTTTCTTTGCTCATTCAAACTCTGTTAGATTTAATTTGTATCAAGTTTTTATTTAATAGCAGCCAGCAGCGAAACTGTAATATCATTGAATCCTTGGGTCTCACGTTTTAGAAACTGATTTCTCTGGAGTGCATGCAACCCTGGTTAAGCAACTGTTTTTAAAGCACAGCCCTCTCTGGACAGGGAGACACAGGAAGTCGTTGCTGGCCATCAAAACCTTAGTGTGAATGTGTTTCTCCTACACTTTTGTGTAGAGGCAGCTACCCTGCTCCCTGCTGCCACACCTGCATTCCTTTTATTTCTCTCCGGATTCTTCCACCAACTCCTACCCCTGTCAAAATAGGAAAGACTTTTACATCATTCCAAAAATGTCTAGACTATGTCCAAAACCAGTCAGGAAAACCTAGCTTACAAAAAGTAGGCAAAACAAGGTGTAACAGTGCCTTGCACATGATCGCAGAGTTTTGTAGACTGTGCTATTTACCATGTGACGTTCCCAAACCAT